TTTGCCATGGTCTTTTAATTCGATCTGAATTTATTTATACCTACTTTATAAATGCGTTGCTATACACGCCACACGGCATAAAATCCCTGACAGGATAATAACGTTATACGTTTCCAGAAATAAAATATTTTTAATTTTATTGATATCCATATTATTTAATTATAATTTATATCTATATATTATGTTTTTGTTATCTTTTATATGGTAGGTAGTGTACTAGTGTCTATATTGTGTAGTTTGTGATGGGCAATAGCAGCCCAATCGTCCAATATATTACTATAAAATAACAAAAAAAAACAAATTCAAATACAAAAATTATAGTTATACATATTTGCTAGAAATAGTAGCGGCCCAACACTTACAATCTGGTACCGGACCACTGTGCTATATAGAATAGTGGCACACCGGGCCAGTCCGCTACTGGCTGTACTGTAGGTTACAAGTGGGTCACTGTATAATGGATGGTATTAAATTTGAATTCAATGATACAATATCATTGTATAAGAAAAACGATTCTGAGCGAAGACGGTATGTCAGTCTATGTTTAAGACAAATTATATACATATCTATGGTATTAAAAAAAAATTGACCTATAATAAATTCCAAATTAATCATATCACATTATCACAATATCCATTAGGTACTTATAACACGTTATACATCAACATCAATAACAAACCCTGATACTATCATTGATATATTATTATAATAGTACACTTTAGAAGTTTCAAGTAGGTACCCACGAATAATATTATATAATCACAACAAAATAACTAGGTTTTTTAATATGTAATTTCGTCCAAATTTGAACATAAAATGACTATAAAAATAAACTGTGATTGTATATTTTTTAGATTTTTTGGTAAGAGAATTAACTACTTACGTGGAATCTTGTTTTAAATTTTCAATCCTTAGCTATAAAAACTGAACATTTTATAATTTATTAATTACGATGATTAATAATTTTCGAGATTTTGAAAAATTCTGTCAAAATTCGATGTTTAAATGCTTATAAAAAAAAACTGTGCCTATGTATTTTTAATATTTTTCAACTGATATTGTAACAATATATCAGGAGCCTTGTATTAAATTTTTACACTTTTTGGCCCAACAGATAAAACTTTATTGATATTCATAGAAAAAAAAAATAAAAAAATTGAAAAATGAAAATATCCGTAAATAGCTCAAAAAGAGTCAAAATATTTTCAAAATTGTATGGTGTATAGGAAATGCTAATATAAACATTCAGTGAAATTTCCATGTATCTATAGTTATTCGTTTATGAATAACAACAAAATAAGGAAATCGCTACATGAGAAATCGAGTGAACATCCAATGTTGTAAAAATTTGCGCTTGTGAAAACTATTGGGAATTTTAAATTTTGACCTCCCCAATGCACCAACGATATTCACTTTCCAATCGAACAAGATACTGAAGTCGAAAATCGAAGCATTATTTCGACTACTAATCGTGTACACTGGCGATTGTAAACTCCACCGATTTACAGGTAGTCGATTTTAGGGTTGGATTTATAACATGTAAATTCCACCGATACATTTTTTTTACCTGAAAAAAAAATGTAAACTCCACCGATACGTATTTTTGACCTAAAAACACGTAAACTCCACCGATGGTAAAATCCACAGATTAAAACTATATGTATAGTGTATACACATCATTACATCAACTTTCGACTGACTTATCTTAAACTTCATCTTAACGATTTTAAAGCTGCATCTAAACATTATCAAATTTTTTTAAAACTTAAATTTTCTTTAAGTAATAATTTTTTTGTTCATTTATTTTAATTAACATTATTTTAACTACGAACTAGACACTAGTGATCACTATTAATTATTATTATATCATTTATTTTAATATTGTGTAAAAAAAGATATAAGTATCTAAATATAACAGGGCTTTGCACCCGAATCATTTATTCGGGTTTCGGGTGCTGGATATATTCGGGTGTTCAAACACCCGAATAAGAAGTTTAAACAAACATTCGGGTTTTCAAAACCACTATTATTCGGGTTAATATTGGTTAATACGGGTGCTTAGAAATCTGGAGAAAAACATAGCTTTTGATGACCCCCCCCCCCAAAAAAAAAAAAAATTATTTATGCAATGACTTATTATGCTATGTTTAATTAAATATATTTTTCCAACACGAATTTGCAACATTTGTTTTAGAACAAACTCGTATTAATGTACCTACAGTAGTTACATTTTTTTAAGAAACTACAAGAACTAAGGCGATGAGAAATTAATTAGTTATCTATATTCATTTTATTGGATGCATTAGAGTCTATATCACTTATGAAAATCTATGTACCTTAACTCTTATTAAGGCTTAAATTCTTAACATACATTTTATAAGTTCCAAATACCTACTCTATCTGTTTACTATTTTAAACAAAGGTATTAAGTGTGAACCCAAACAACCAAACAAATACCTACATTATCTACTTACCAGAGCTGGAGCTCAATCAAGGGTATTTAAATACTATATTATTTTATATTGATTAGTTATTAGGTTCCTACTTCCTATAGATATAAGTTATACTTAAAACTGTTATTAAAATACAACACATCCTAACCTAACGCCACTGATCTAAAGTAATAACAACTATTAGGTAATATAAAATAAATTAAAATATAATATAATATAGTTACAAATGTTACGATAAATTAATAATAACAGCAGTCAGCAACAAAAATTGACAATATTGACTGGGATAATCAGAATCAAATAAGGATTTCATTGGATTTTATTTTTAAGAAAATGATTATTGAATTACAACTAACTAAAGAATCGAACGCGCCACAAGAAATACATATAAAATGATATATCACATGAAGAGTTTGTAAAAATGAAATTATTCGGGTTTCGGGTTAACCCGAATGATTTATTCGGGTTTTGGTTAATACGGGTGTTTTGAAAATAGAATCATTCGGGTTATATGGGTTTCGGGTGTTTGAATTTTTAAGGATGTTTAGGGGTTCGGGTTAATTCGGGTGCAAAGCCCTGAAATATAATATATATAAATAATAAATCTGTACATAAATTATGTAGGAACGTATTACCTATAACGCAATGTTAATAATTATAGATTTTTCTATTTTTTTCTATTTGATTTTTATATGATTTTCTTTTTAAATTATTGTTAATTAATAATTATATATTTTTCAATTTTCTATTATTGCTATTTGATTTTTATATGATTTTTTTTTTAAATCATTGTATTTTAATACAATAAATATATTATAATAAAACTGCACCCTCATAAATTATGTAACCTTAGTTAATCAGATTGGATTTGGATTACAATTTAAAAAAAAAACATACCAGTGGAGTTTACATTTTTTTTTCAGGTAAACAAAATGTACCGGTGGAGTTTACATTTTTTTTTCAGGTAAAAAAAACTTACCGGTGGAGTTTACATGAAAAAAGGTCTAAAAAGGTCTCAATCGGTGGAGTTTACATGCGCCCGTGTACACAGACACAAAAAATAAAAAAAAACACACATCATTGTAAAATCAATACATTCATCGTTTCACTCAGAATCTAAAATAATATATATAATATGAATATGAATATTTGGACACCTTGGGCACGCTTACTTGTTAGTAATATAAAAAAAAATATTATATGTTGAGATTTGAAATTCTTTTTTGTCAATACCTACTTTTATAAGTTTATTATTATTGTTTGATTTTGTTTATTTCAGTGTATAAACATTGTAACTATACATTGTTTATGACCATCATAACGAATTAAAGCTATGCTATTATAATATAATATTAAATAAAACTGTATTACACGAAAGTGGTAATTTAGTATATATATGTAATACAGTTTTTTGTGCATCTACATAATATAGAAATTTGAACGAATATTTAACCATTTGAAAATGTAATTTTGTGTATAAAATATAATATTAATATGTAGCCCACGTACCTGGTAGGCATACAAAAAATTAACTCTAATTTTCACATATTTAGTTTATTTCTGATTTCAATAATAAAATAACAGTTACAATATTGACACCCTAACTAAATTAATCTATAATTTTAGGGCACACGAATTTTTATTTACCTGGAACTTAGGACAACCCTAGCTATAATGTATGTTTACCTACACGTAGTTACATAATATTAATTATTATTATTGAGTGTTGGCTACAAACATAAATTAAAACGTTAAAAAACATTTTATTCTTATGTTATATTATAATAAATAATTATGCTGGCCAAATAATATGTCTGGAAACCAACCTATTTTCACTGTTTATTTATTATTAATATTTATATTGTTTCAGTTTTGTTCAAAAACCTTTTACATATAAGTACATCAGTTTTTACTTTCAAGAATTGTATTTATATTTTTCCAATTGCTGTTTTAATTTGTAATTTCTTAGTATTCCAAATTGTATTTAACTTTCCTTCTTTTAGTTTGTGAAGGATTAATTGTTCATTTTATTTTCAATATAAAACCATTACATAGTTTTAAATTCAAAGATCTACAAATCAACAATGAAAGCAGCTTTCCGCAATCAAAGGTTTTTTTCATCAGAATACAGATCCGAAATAGTTGTATGTACCTCAATGATTAATACATTTTAAACAATAATATCGAAAAGTTTTTGAGTTTAGTTAGCGTGATAGTAAGTGTGGTGTACCGAGTACTAATAATTAACACACATTACATTAGATTTATTAGATATTCACTTTATTAGACATAGTTGTCTCAATACAACATTTCAATAACTCAGCAAAACATAACCTTAAACTAATTTATCATGGAATAATACATATTACATACATTACAGTCCTCCCGACTTACATATGAATTACATTTCATATAAAATTATTGAATATAATATAATACTAATTGTATAATAATAAAAAAAATAATATAAGTAATATTGTACATATTAATTATTAAATAATTTGAACATTATAATTAAATAATAATAATAAATTAACATTCAATACTCTATAAATCCAAACGAACAGGAGGTTTAATAACCCTACAGCTTTTCCTCAATTCCACCCCCTCAACTTTATCCTCTGTTTCCAATTCTACTTCTTTTTCTGCCTCTTTAACACTTTCACTTATAACTATTTGTTCTTTAATATTACTCTTATTATTATCAGCATTTTGTAATTCTTCTAATAAATCTCCATTAATTTCTACTTCTGTTCCATTTTTATTCTTACAATCAATTATTTGGTTTAAATGTCGCTTATAAATGTTACCCTTAATAATTTTAATTAAGTATGTAACAGGTGATAATTTTTGTATTATTTTTCCCTGTATCCACTTATTCCCTTCTCCATAATTCCTACACATAACCTCATCTCCAATTTCATACGATTTTGTTCTACTACCCTTATAATTTTCCTTGGCTCTTTCTAAGCTTTTTGTATAATTATATTTTGCCTTGACTATTAACCTAAGTAGTATAGGGGTCACTATGGTACACTTTCATTTTAAATGCAAAATTCCTTAAATTATTTTGCAAATCGTGAAACGCAATAATTATTAAAATATTTTGCAAATCGTGAAACGCAATAATTATTAAAATATTTTTTCATAGAAATTGAAACGCAATATTTCCTAAAATATTTTTTCATAGAAATTGAAATGCAATATTCCTTTAATTATTTTGCAAATCGTGAAACGCAATAATTATTAAAATATTTTTCAAAAAATCGTGAAATGCAAAAATACTAAAAATAATTTTCATAGAAATTGAAATGCAAAAAATACTAAAAATATTTTCCTATGGGGGACTTCGGCACACGTGACATTTAAATGCAATAATTACTTAAAATATTTTTCAAAAATCTGAAATGCACCAAAACATTTTTTAATAGAATTGTTCTATCAAAAATAAAAATCGAAATAGCATATTTAATTGCAAAATGTATTAAAAAGAAATTGAAAAAATTAATTTAAAAATTAAAAATATAATAAATAATAAAAATAATGGAAACAACTATCAAAGATTTTAATAAATTACAAGAAAATGAAATGCAAAACGAAATAGAAAAATCATTATTAAATAATGAAATCTTTGTTAAGTTCTGTAAATATGAATACTATAATACTAAAAATAAAAAAAATATTAAAATCATGAAATATAATCTAAATACAATTCCGATTAAAGGAAATATTTTAATTATCGATCATGGACACAATATTTCTGGAAATGGAAAGCCTTATGCTTCTAAAATACTAGAATCGCCAACATGGCTTGAAATTTGTAAAATAGCTAATGATTTAATAATTACAACAGGTAAATTTTCAGAAATATATCTCTATGATATTATTGTTCATCAAGATTTAGGAAATATTAAAATATGTACCCTTATTATGGAGTCGACTTTATTAGACCATTTATTAATTTAATTTTTAATAGAATTGTTCTATTAAAAAAATGTTCAATATTTAACGCGTGTCCCATTCGGACACGCGTTATTAAAAACCAAAAATCTTTAAAAACGATTTTACACTATGATACTATGAGGGGGACTTATAAAGAATTAAAATTAAAAATGTTTAATGTAAAAATGAAGATTATAACATAAATAGCAACGGAGTTATACTTAAATGAAAAATATGAAGCGGGGGGTAAACTTTTAATATGTAGTGTAGATAAGCATATAAAACATATCTGTGTTGATCCGACTTGATAATATCAAATATTAAATGAAATATAGGACATATACGATCGTGTTATTTTTTAATATTTTTAATAGAAATATGGAAAAAAATGCAAAAAATCTACAAAATCATTCCCAGCTTTGCAGATACCCGTTAGGAAAAAAGGAGGCCGGAACTCTTTTACAGATATCTGCAAAGCTATCGTGGGCAGTGAAGTTACCCAAGCGCTTTATCCAGCAGGACAACGACAGTTTTTCAGTAGATTGCATAGGTGTGTGCACCCACCTATACAATCTACCGTAAACGTCTTCAAAGCCTGATGAAATTAGTAGGTGAACATGGGCGCCACACGTTCTCCCACTAGTTTCAATCCGACCAAGAACACATTTTAAATCAAACGCGTTACCGACTGAGCTACAACACTTGGGCATGTATAATGATTATTTAAACACTATTTAAATAATTCGATAAAAAAACATCATAATATAAACTATACATATATATTATGATAAGGTATTCAATACCGGATGTTAAAAAAATAATCAGTCCAACGTTGATATATATACAATATTATTATTATTATTATTATTATTATTATACCACACTGTATAGGTATTATAATATTATAATAATACTTCGTAAGTATTATATTCGATTTAAATTTTCGATGTTTAAAAAATTTTATTTTTTTATAATAAATTATAGTAATGGAAAATAAAAATCAAATTAATGAATTATCTTTGTCAAAAACTATAAAAAAAACGATAGATGCTAATAATGTAAAAAACGAATTTGGTCCATATGAAGTCAAGCATAAAATTTACAAACATGAGCAAAATAAAGTGGAAGCGTTTCGCAAATCATGTGTAATATTCAATAAATTTAATAAAATATTACAAATAAAGTACAATAATCAAGAAAATACTTTTACATTGGAAGAAATGGAAGAAATAATACCGATACGAGCAATGTATTATTGCAGTCATGATTGGGATCAAGGTGCAATATCTGAATTTATTGATTTTCGAAAAAACTGGAAATTTCCTATTTTGTATTCTCAAGTTCGTGGTGATTATATTCCAACTTGGGATCAATGGGAATGTTTTGGTATGATAAAGTCTGAAATTACAATATCCCAATTTATTAAAAATTTTAATGATGATTTTAAGGGCACACTTGGTTTTTTTTTCTATAATTACATAGATAATAAAGATAAATTATGGTTATCAATTGATATAATTTCGAGTTGTCATTTTATAAAATATGCATATGGTCTAACTCCTCAAAACGATGATACAGATGAAGAATATGAATGTGTAAATATTAATTGTGAAATAAAAATTGCTAATAAAATAAAAATAATCGAAGATGTTAAAAAACAATGTTAACATAAAAAACAACGTCAACGTTTACCTATAGTTTGTATAGGTACTATAATATATAAATATATAATACTTCGTAAGTATTATATTCGATTTAAATTTTCAAAGTTTAAAAAATAATCATTCTAGCTGCATATTATTATTATTATTATTATTATTATTATTATTATTATTCGAATCGTGTACTTCATGTAATTCATCATCAATTATTCGAAATGTTTGGAGTTTCCCTATACCTTGTTCTTGTTCAAACAAATTTAAAAGTGTTGTTATATTAATATCAAAATCACTATCATTAAATATAGGTCTTAGGATTTTACGTTGTTGTTCAATCATATTTAAAAGTGTTTTCATATTTTCCATTTCTATTATTTATATTAGTAAATATTTTTTTTTTTTTTTTTTTTTTTTTAACATCGAATTATTAAAACAATGTTAACATAAAAAACAACGTCAACGAGTTAACGTAAAAAACAACGACTCGTTTACTCGTTTAATCGTTTACTCGTTTACTCGTTGACTCGTTTACTCGTTTAATCGTTTACTCGTTTACTCGTTTAATCGTTTACTCGTTTACTCGTTGACTCGTTTACTCGTTTACTCGTTTAATCGTTTACTCGTTTACTCGTTTACTCGTTTACTCGTTTACTCGTTGTTATTTTTAATAGAAATATTTCTATTAAAAAATAAAATATTTAAATAAATTTTTTATAATTTTCAATAAATTCTAAACATAAATGACCACATATAGGTGGATCATTATAGTATTGAAATTGGGAAACAGTACAAAAAAGATTATCTTTACCCAAATATTTTAAAAGTTCTTTTGGTGGCTCACCAACTATATGACCAAATGGATCAAAATATATTTTAAATGTATTGTTTATTTTTTTCCATGCAACCCAATGAGAACCATTTTGAGTAGAATCATTTAAATTAAATACTCCACATTCATTTTCCCATGGTGTTGTAGGTAATTCATTTAACATAAAACACCCTCTATAATTTTTTATTTTATTTCCAAAATAATTTATATCTATATTACTCAATGGATCAATTTTTACATTATTTTTTTTAATCCAAAACCGTGTATAAATACCTTCAAATTTTTCAATATTATTTCTAAATGTTGTTATTTCAAATTTATTCATTTTTTCAATTTTTTTTTCAATATTTTTTTTTTTTTTTTTTTCAAGCCAGAACCTTGTGATCTAATTTTTTCCATCTCTTTATTATGTCGAATTGTTTCTTGTTCCATTTTTTTTTTTGTGTTTAGCATCAGTTACTGCAGTATAAAGTGCACTAGCACCTGCAGCCAAAGCACTTACACCTTCAACCACAGCAATAGCTATTGGTAAAAATCCACCTTTTTTAATTTGAACATGTTTAAGTTCTAAACTTGATCCGGTATTATTTTTTTTAGCGTTTTTTAATTTTCTTATTTGTTCTGGCTCAAGAATAAATTTATGTTTTCCACTATCAATTTGATTATTTTCAATTAGAATTGATACATCTTTATTATTTTTATGAGCTTTCAATATTTTATTAAATTTTTTTTATTTAAATTTAGATTCATTTTATAATACAAAATATTAAATTAAATTAAATTAAATTAAATTCATTCCAAATCGTCTTTTAACATTCATTACATTTGCTGTAAAAATGGCTGCAGTTTTTTCACCTATAGAACTATGAGGATCATAAAATCTTTCCATTGCTTTTTGTTCTAAAATTTTATCAGCAATATGTCTTGTTTTAGTATCTTTATTATCTTTATAAAAATAATCATGTTCTCTCGCAGCTTCATCTAATTTGTTTTTAGGTTTTTTATTTTTTTCTAACTTTGTTCCCGGTCCTAAATAATTATAGCCAGGCCAATGCATTTCAGGTAAATTTGAACAATTCAAAAGATAATTAACAATTCCTGAACCTGTAATAATTTTCTTTGGTAAACATGAAACATATGATGATAAATACTCTGCACCGTTAATAGGTATATCAATTAATTTTTCCATTTCTCTAATACAAATATTAAGAATATCAAGTTTTTCATCATGGTAAATATTATTTCCTATACTTTCTTCAATTGATATATACTGTATACGTTTAATTATTTTTTCTTTTGATATTTTCACTTCCTTTGGTAAACAAGTTACATATTTTAATAAATATTCAATACCTTCAGGAGTATCAATAAGATTTTCCATAATTGATTTAAATAAATAAACAATACCAAGTTTTTCGTTTTTAAAATTATTATTTCCAGCTCTTTCTTCTGAAGAAATAAACTGTAAATTATCT